GTGCCGAGAGTTTATGAATGTAGACCAAAGGAACACATGATAAATTGGCATTTGATATACCTATGATTTGACGAGAGCCAAGAGATCATTGTACGGACTGTTACGTTTGCTTAGTGAATACTTTAGGATATAACAAGAAAAACAAATAGAAAAAACGAGTATCCAAGTCTACCATCAGCTATACGTCCAGTACCTTATTCAACTGAAATCCCTGTACTTGTTTTCGCTCAACTACCTGATGAAGTGACAGCCATGATGCGGATTTTGAAATTGTAGATGTCTCAGCTCGGCTCGTAAGGGATTCGATCAAAATGAGTTGAATGATTTGGCACTGGATTTGGGACCTTCAAAAAGCGTCAGATCTTGCAACATGCCTGAAAAAAAAAAGAGCAAAGGTATCCTATTTTCGATCTAGAGCAAGTTCATTTCTGCACATTATTCGAACTATTGTCCTCATCTTTGTCGCCATATTTATCACAACGTTTCGGCCGTTGTACGCTCCGGCCTTCTTCAGGTAGTTGGAATGTCGAACTGAACCCTTTATTTCGCTCACTGGGGTAGACTGTTCTAGTTCCACGTGCCATGTTTTAATGGATGTCAGTTATCAGTTATCTCCTGTTAATTCCCCTCTCCAAGTTCTCCACTGCCTTAACCGGGTATTGAACTCATACTCTTTGGGACTTGTCAATGGATCTAACCAACGCCTTTATCCACTGAACGATGTGTCCTGCAGTATTTTCGAAGTGACAGTAGATTTGTATATTGCCATAACATACAGGGTTTACTGCAGAAATTGGGAATTTTGATGTCCAACTCAGAGGACTGGCGACGGTTCATCGACAGCTTGAAGCGTAGCTTAAAGTTTATCCTTCTCCACAATGGCAATTTATATGTGTTATGGTAATTTACCCACACACGCATAGACTCGCCCAGCTATAAATAGGAGCAGGTACTGCCTTTTGGAGGTTGAAGTTTCCAGCAGTCAGCCGAACATTCTTGCTGTAACACTCCTATTTGTATATGTTTGTAATACTGTTTCTGTTAATATATTTGTTTAACTCAATTCCTCTTGTGTCTTTGTTTCTGGCCCTTAGAAGGCCACAACGATATGGTAATGTCCCAATTGGCCATTCAGTCTGTCTTCATGAAGAAGATGGAGACATAAAAAGAGTCACTGAGTTGTTGCACAAACACAATTGGATCATCTCTGTCGACCTTAAAATGGTATGCTTTCTTATTGGTGGGCAACGTGGTTACACCAAATATCCCTGCTTTCTGTGTGTGTGGGGGGGGATAGCTGAGCTCGAAAGAAGCATCGGGTGGAGAGGAATTGGTCTCCAAGTCCTGACCTCAAACCTGGCGATTCCAACCTTCTACATGAGCCACTGCAGGAAAAGCTACAGGCGTAAATTTTTAGCTTAAGTAATTGAACACAATTTGACGGTTTGTATAAGCAAAATATATTTGTACAAATATTACAGCCAAGCAATGTTTTATTATTTTCCATCATAAGCAAATTTTAAACCATACAATAAACTGAGCCAAATATACTAGATACGGTATTTTATGTTTCTTTATACAAAGCGAGGGTATCCTGTAGCCTGAAAACAACGTTATACAGAAAAACTGGGGTCATTTTTGGATTCAGAAGGCAATAGTCAAAATCGATATATATATATATATATATATATATATATATATATATATATATATATATATATATATATATATATATAACATGTGTGTGTGTGAAAAGTATATATAAATATAAACAAATATATATATGTATAATTATTTATATATTATATGCGTGGTACTTATTAGAAAGCGCTCAATATCAGAGATAGAGCTAACATATTTGGTTGGATAGATGTGAGTTTGTGACCCTGGGTTTCACGCTTTAGCGATCGTCAGACAAACTGATTAATGTCTTAAAAAATTTTGGTTTTATGTAGATTGCGTGTATTGGTGTTATTGTGGAAGTGGTGGGGGAAATTTCGTCGTTTTGTCATTCATCGTACTAACGCAAACATCGATGTATGCAGACACATATACACACTCCCGACGGACGACCAAGTGTGTATATTTTTAAAACATTAATCAGTTTGTCTGACGATCGCTAAAGCGTGAAACCCAGTGTCACAAACTCACATCTATCAACCAAATATATATATATATATATATATATATATATATATATATATATATATATATATATATATATCAATAATAACACATCAATTACTATATACCTGGTTTTATAGTCCCATGGATATTGATTACAGAATGCAATTGATTAAGAAACTGATACAGGGATATCGATAATCATTAAGTTTAAAAAAAAGAGAATGAAGGTGCCTAAATACATATTCGTTAACAAAACGTTAATAAGAACAACGGCAGTTGCCACTGACCCAATTAAAGAGCGGAAATAAATAAATAACTCGATGCAAATGAGACGATATTCAATCCTTAGCAACAGCCGGGGATATGTGATCATGCATATCCCTATATACTAACGATATAGAAAACGAAAGTAATTTGTTCTAAATAATGTATGATGAATTAAACTGAGACCAAACATTTGCTGAGTTGTTTCCGGCTACGTCAGATCACGAACACAGTTAACTTATTTATTTTTTTAAGCATTTCAGTCACTGTACTTATTTTTAAGTCACTATACTGAACCTATACTGGGAGCAAACCACCTGCACACGGATAAGCAATGAGTTCAATAAATATAAAAAAAAGGGGTATAAGACAAGGCTGTGTCTTCTGACTGGGCTTATTCAACCAATACAGCGAGGCAATTCTGAGAGAATTAGAAGTCTTAGCGGGTTACATCACTGGCGGCCACAATCTTAGTAAGAGGAAACGTGCAGATAACACAGTGTAGATAGTAGACACAGAAAGGAAAACACAAGAAATAACACAAAGCATAGCAAAGGAAAGACAGAAGAAAGGACTAACTATCAATTGCTAGAAGCCAGAACACATGGTTGTCAACATAAGGATGAGTCTAACATGCAAATTAATAATTGGATGTACCAAAATCGAACAAGTACAAAAATTTAAATATCTGGTAAGTATTTTAACAGAGGGCGTAAAGCGCGTTACTGAAATCCGAAGACACATTGGGAAAACGAAAGATGCCTTCTAAAAGCTAAGCAGAGTATTGAGAATAAGGAAAATTTCGTTAGAATCCCACAAAAAAAAAGAAAAGATTTTTGAACAGTATCAGTTCTCTTATATAACAGTCCTCCTTATATATATATATATATATCAGTTCTATATAGCAATCTCCCTCACAGATGAAACGAATTGAAGTAACAGAAATGTTGTTTTACGGAAGGATGCTGAGACTACTATGTGCAGAACATCTGAGCAACGACGGGCTGCAAGACAATGATACATCTTCTCTCCAGACATTTTCAACCTCTACAACAAGGCAATTCTGATAGAATTAGGAGTCCTATTGAGATTCATTATTGGAGGTTACTAACGTAACGTGTCATGTATTTTCTGATTATCTCAGTTTTAGTTAATTCTATTTAGTAACTCAGATCTCCAAGTTTTTGTTCCGTCTGCTGAGGACGGGTGTTGAAAATTTAATACTCACAGGACAGATTGGAGATAAAAGAGACAGGGGAAAGTAAAGCCCAACTTAGCATCTAAATGCAAAAGGAGGGCTATTTAAATCGAAGAATAAGAACGAATGACACGGAATAAAAAAAATCTTCTAAACTGAATAAGTGACTGATTCAAAAGGAAAGATATTCAAAGCAAAAACAAAACAAAGAAATACAAAACATAAAAATTATTTCAAAGCGAATGAGTGCCTGATTCAAAAGGAAGGAGATTAAAAGGCAAAACATCAGAATGAATGATACGAAACAACAAAATCTTTGAAAGCAAATGGGAGACTTAATCAAAAGGAAGGACATTCAAAGTGGAAAAAGAATGAATGATACAACACAAAAAATCTTTCAAAGCGAATGAGTGCCTGATTCAAAAAGATGGATATTCAAGATAAAAAAAGAAGAAAAAAAATCAGAATGTATGATACAAAACAAAAAAAAACTCATTCAAAGTGAATGGGAGAGTGATTTAAAAGAAAAGACATTCAAAGTGGAAAAAAGAGATTGAAAGATACAAAAAGATCTTTCAAAGCGAATGTGTGTCTGATGCAAAAGGAAGGACATTCAAGGCACCCCACCCAAAAAAAAAAAAACAGAATGAACAAAATAAAATGGAAAAACTTTCAAAACGAATGGGACACTGATTGAAAAGGAAGGACATTCAAAGTGAGAAAAAAAAAGAATGAATGATACAAAATAAAAATTATTTCAAAACTAATGACTGACTGATTCAAAAGGAAGGATATTAAAGGCAAAAAATCAGAATGAATGATATGAAACAAAAAACATCTTTCAAAGCAAATTGGAGACTTAAGCAAAAGGAAGGACATTCAAAGTGAGAAAAAAGAATGAATGATACAAAATAAAAATTATTTCAAACCCAATGAGTGACTGATTCAAAAAGAAGGACATTCAAGTAAAAAAAAAAAGCAAAAAAAAAGCAATGTATCATCCAAAAGGTAAAAAAGTCTTTCAAAGCGAATGGTAGACTGAATTAAAAGAAAGGACATTCTAAGCGAAAAAAGAAAAAGAAAAAGAATGATGGATACACAATACAAAATCTCTTTCAAAGTGAAGGAGAGAGTCAATAAATCAAAATGAAGTTAGTTCCACGCGTTCTTTCTTTCGTTTCACGTCTGTCTGTATGTTGGAGTAACCAATAGCGTCTTTATTCTTGAATGACAGGTAGCAATGATGAACCACTATGTGTCATAGATGCCTGACCCCTTAGACAAACAAATGTCAACTTTCTATCACTCTAATGTTTCGGCTTTTCTTAATTGACACTTTGTTTATCTTTCTAGTTTATTCGTCAACACATTAACTAGTGTCAACGTACAGAAATCCTTATTGAAGCCACTCATAGCATAGACTTGGCGCTACGAAGTTTCTGTAATGGTTAACAATCTTGATCCGCTAGATCAATTACGACTGAGTAGCCAGTTCGATCATCACAGAGGGCTACACTCTTTCGGCCTTCTACCCCATCTATGCTACGCTTAGAAAATCATTTTACACACTTCGACATACTGTAATGGCTAACAAGCTCGCCTCGCTAGATCAATCATGACCGAATAGTGATTGCGATCCTCACTGGGTATCCCCATATTTTCGGCCTTGGCCACACCTAAGTTACGCTTAGGTATGACACAGTATATTAGGGATTGGATTTATCAAAGAGTGGATTATTTTTATACTATTTTTCTTCCATGGGACGTCTCGCTTCAGGGCGATCATGGCTCTCCACAATTTTCTAGTCCCTTCAACGTTTTTTTCTTTTTTGTCATAGCTCCTACTCGTCGTTCTGCCATCCATTTACATAAACAGATCAGGTAGCTGCCTTCCTTTGTCTCTTTTGCCTTCGATATGTCCTGTGTGTGCCGAATTCTCCGAGACCTCTTTATTCATTATGAGTCCAAGAATTTCCATCTCTTTCTGATTCTGTGTATATCCTTTTTGTCTTCGTTTCCCTAAAGACTCCATCGTTGCTTATACGGTGTGTCCAAGAAATTCTCAGCATCCTTCTGCAGAACTATGAGGCTTTTCAGAAAAAAAGAAATACGTATAATCAGAAAGAGTTATTTGAAATTCTTAGGATACGTAATGAGTAACTTGCACTGACGATTCCGCTTACATCACCAAATATCCTTTTCACTATTGCTCATTCAGACAATGTTCCTACGTACGGATAGCTAAAATTGATATATCGGCGTCGGGTAATTGTCGACGAGGCTAATCTGGTTGACCATTAATCTTGAATTGTGATATCGCTCCTCATTGGCTGTTCCATACACAATTCGAGATGAAATAACCATACAAGTATTAACGTGTATACCTAACAACCAACCACTAACATTTTGCAGTTTGAAAATATTTGGCAATTATATCATTTCACAATCCGCCTGACAGTTGGTTAAAAAATGTATCCTAAAATTGAAGTGAAAATACCTTCCTCTTAGCAGAATCGAATACATGATAAAGACCGCGTGTAGGCTTAGAGAGTTGCATGAATCCTAACGCAGACAAAAGACAGTATTTCGAATACTGAGCAAGCAGGTGTCCACGAATGGTCCTGCAATAAGGAAAAATGCCGATGACAAGTTCAAAAAAAAAAAAAACGTAAATGATAAGGACTGTAGTTAATATTAGCCGTCTCCTTATAAGGAAACATTTGGCATTCATTAACCGAGCAGCCATCACTACTGTCGGTTGAAACTTATAAATATCTGTATATATTTCAGAGATTATTTTCATTGTTTGGAAGGTTGTCCTCATCTTTATTGCTATATTCACAACGTTTCGTTGTACGCCCCGGCCTGTTTCGAATTGAACCCTTTATTTCGTCCTAGTTGTTGATTGTTCTAGTTCCTAGTTCATGAGACATGGCCCAGTGGATAAAATCGTTAGTTGGATCCAATGCCTTTACGCAAAGAGTTGTAAGTTCAATACCTGGCTACTGCAATGACTAAAGACTGTGTGTACTCTATCCCGTGCAGCTGTGGAAAGAAATATATAAGGGAGACAGGCCGCCCCTTTAAATTAAGGCTTCAAGAAGACCAGAAAGCTGTAACACGAGGGGAAGTGGAAAAATCAGGCGTAGCTGACAACATATGGAGAGAGAAGGGAGATCACCGCCCTCTGTGGAATCAGGTTGAGATCATAGAAAAGGAACACCATTGGAAAATTTGTAAACTTAAGGAATCAGCACATATGCTAGGCCACAAAAATCTTCTGAGTCGACCATGCATAGAAATGAATACAATATGAGAACCAGTAATAAGGAGTGCCAGAGAAAAGCGATAATAACAACAAAGTTGCAATATGAGCTCTGGTAAAAACATGAAATGATGACAGTAAAAATTTGCAATATGAGCACTGGTAAAAATGGTTGCTGAAGACATTAGGTTTATAATACCCAGAAATCCATAGAGAGATCTACTCACTGACACATGGCACGGTGGTTAAAGGCGTTGGTTAGATCCAGTGACAGGACCCAAAGAGTGTGAGTTCAATACCCGGTGGAGAACTTTGAGAGGGAAATTAACAGGAGATAACTGACAACTGACGCCCATTAGGCATGGCACATGGAACTAGAATAGTCTACCACAGTGAGCGAAATAAAGAGTTAAGTTTGACATTCCAACCACCTGAAGAAGGCCAGAGCGTACAACGGCCGAAACGTTGTAATAAATATGGCGACGTAGATGAGGACAATTTGAATACGAACAATATAAATCGTGTACATAATACCTCATCTCAGAAATATAAACCGATTTGCTGTTTTTCATTTTTAATGTACTTTGTTTTTTACGGCTTATCAACTTTTCGAATTATGTTCAAAGTTAGAAAATATTTTGAGTTT